AAAAAAAAAACACATCATAGTAAAACCAATACCTTCTCAGCTTCGCATCGAAGCTAATATGACTACAAAATTCTTTGGTGTATTCATAATTATACTTCATAATAATCTAATTGTTATTCAATAAAACAGGTCGACGAAAGATAATTTAATAATCATTAAAAAAAATCTTTAAATGTCGTGTTATTAGTGACAAAATATATAATTAACATATAATTTAAACAAAATTAACATATGTAAAGCAAAATCATATCTTTAATAATTTACCTAGAATAATATAATTGAGGTCTTTTATTTAAAAAACAATTTTTGAAAATTTTCAATTCATTTTTCCAGCATTGGCTAATTTTTCTATGTTTTAATATATAATAAGATGGTTCAATAAAATAAACAAGTTTTTTTTTTAAACGTAAATTTTAAATAATGAAGGAAATTTATAACTACAATCTTGTTTATAAATTATAGTATCATATACTTTTATAAATAATACTTCAATGAATTAATTAAGCAATCTAATAAACCTTAGAGTTATTAAACTAATTTGTTATTTTCCTAGTCATCGGTTAGCTTCCATAGTTAACGGAGTATTCTGTGTGCGAAAGCACTATCATTATTAATTATTTATCAATCATTTGCTTTGCTCTTTTTTCTGCTTTTTGTTAATATTATTTTTGTAGTTCAGTGCAAAGTTAGTGCCGATTATATGTTGTTTATCTATTTTTAACATCTGACACTGTCCAAAAATTATATTAAATGGATCATCAATACCTTACTCTATACTAGTCAAATATCTACCTAGGTTTGATAGACGTCTCACTTGAACCCCACACAATAAAGAGACAAGAAAAAACTAGCTCCCGTCTTCATCTACTCAGACCTCTGTTGAGATCAAACATTTTTCTCAAAAATAAAATAATCCTATAAAAAGCCCTGCTACAACCTATCTAGACATACGGAATTGTAATTTGGGAATCTGATAAATCTTCAAATAGCTACCGACTTCAAGCATTTCAGTAATTTGTCATGCGTTCTATCATGGGGAGCATCATAGATCATCTGTAATAATAAACTGCAAGATGACTTCAGAAGTGCCACATTTTACGACACTGCTAAAACCTACTACGCAAGATTCTACTCAATACTTAGTATACACCTAAACCAGCTTGTTAAATACTTATTTTCCACCATTCTTTCAGACAACCTTAGAAAACGTCTTTGCCGTAACTGACTAATTTATAGTATATCTACTATTAAGATAAACTATTTATGTATATATGTAATAACATGTGAATAGGGTTCCTAATTGTAGGTTTTCCTCTCAAAGTACCATGTCATCAATTTCTTGTTAAATATGTTAATAAATTTACTTATTGTATATAACAGATTGTAAATATTCTTATAAAATAAAGTTTTTGAAGACAAAAAAAAATTTTTTTTAACACATGACACATTATAATTGTACAGTTTTTTAATATATAACTTATTTAAGATTTATTGCTTTTATTTATAATTTTAATAATTTTCGGATACCTAAAATAGTTTTTCTCAACTACGCAAAAATTTTCCCAACTATACACAAAATTTTAACCAGGAAAGTAATATTTGTGTAAGTAAAAGTCTACATTTGGCTATTAAAAATTTAACTATAACAAAAATAATTTTCCATTAATAATGGATGAAAAAGTTAGATTCAACCCTTTATATAATTAATCGTTCAAATAATTAAAAATATAGTTCCTCTGTAAATAACTTTTCTCTACGGAAGATATCTTTGAATGAGATACAACTAAATCAACCTATTCTCATAGATTTATTGACAATAGAATTAAAACCAAATATTATGATATAACAAAATATATTTTGAGAATTTAAAAATAATAATGCTAATAAGTTTTCATTTTCAATCCCTAATTCTTTGGTTCTAAGAAATTCAAGTATAAATATAAATACAATTTTTATTTCTTAATACATAACATTTCGTTTAATTGTTGTTGAAAAGATAAGCTTATTTTGGTGAATTCTAAAAACGTTACAATGTATGTTATTTAAAATAAGACAATTATAATGAGACACCAGATATTTGTATTGAATCTGCTGAACATGCTCCAACATAAATGGAATAAATTATCATATTACTTTTTATTTTAGAACAATACCAGCCTTTATTGTCTACATAATTTGAATATTAAAAGAAATCATAAAATTCATTGGTTCATGTGTCAGTATTTTTTTAATAATATCCCATATTCCTACTTTTTTCTATTCTTAATTATTTTTAAGGAGTAAAACATGCAAATAAATATTCGCACTTGCCTTTATTTTCCATAGTAGTTGTCTGAATTAATCTTATGGTAACTTTTTAGTTCAGTGTTAACAAACGTTCGTAGGATCTTGCGTTTATCTCGATTTATTAGCTTTGTGTATGTTAGATTTAAAGAGGATTCTCTACAATGGTACCTGGGTCTATATTATGATTTATTATTTATTTAGTCATACTCGTAGTGACTTTTGTGTGATACAATTTGTTGTTAAATTAACATTTTGTAAAATATTCTGATATTCTCAAATTTAAATGATCAATCATAAAACAATTATTTATTCAAATAATTAAAAAATAATATTGTTTTGTAGTAAATTTTAAGTAAAAAAAAATAATGATCATATCCATTTTAATTATTTTTGTTCATTATTTTTCGTAATATATATAATATAAATGCCCTTTGGATTCAAATTTTTATCCTCTTGCAACACGTACTAAAGTAAATAAATTATGACTAAACTTGGTAGGTATTATATAATCTTATATTAATATATATAATCTTGGAAAAAAATCATATTATACATATTGCACTGGCGTATGTTGAGGGGGGGTTTGAAACTCCCCCCCGAAAAATTTGTAAGCTAAGCGACAATTATGGACAATAAACAATAATTAATGACAATAAAAAAGATTATTTCATACTATAAATATTTCCACAATAAAGTATTTGAAATTTTTGTTAGCGAACAATATGGGCCGTATCACATCTAATTTATTTCAAAATTTATTTACTACACAATTATCAAAAAGTAAAAGAATTCCTTTACTACTTATGTGTTTGTCGTTAGTTACAATATACAATGCAACAGTAAACTAAAAAAACTAAAAAGTGAAAAATAAATATAGTTTGAAAAATTAAAAAAACACGCTTTTAAAACACATCGAATTAAAAATTTAAAACAATTTTTAAAACAAGCTTAAAACAGTAATGAACGAAAAATACTAGTATTATTGTAAAAAAAAAGCGTGGGCACTTTATGTCATATTTTTCGTGTATTGAGTGCCCGACACATTTTTTCATAATAATACTAGTATATTTCGTTCATTACTGTTTTAAGCTTGTTTTAAAAATTGTTTTAAACTTTTAATTCGATGTGTTTTAAAAGCGTGTTTTTTTAATTTTTTAAACTAAAGTTACCTACATTTTATCAGCTCAGGAGTCAATGATTTTCATGTCAAAAGTTATATTACTACATTATTACTACAATCCTACACATTTATTATCACTTTTCTAAATACAGGATCAAAAAATGAACCACAAATTGAAACACCTGCCAAAATGTCATCATCACATTCTTCAGTAACTTATACTGATGATCATGATATTTGCAACTTCATAAATGCAAATTTAACAAATTCTCAAAAAATTGAAGTTTTAAAGAAGTTATGGAAGCCGCCAGTAGAATGTCTATTTCCTTCAAGTGGTAGTCGGAATTTAAGATTTCAATATTGATGGCTTAATCAATATAATTGGTTAATCTATTCAGCAAAACTAGATGGCGCATTTTGTAAATTTTGCATTTTATTTCAATCAGTTGATGGTAACGTTAGATGGGGTAATCATCAGAAGTCTGGTCAGTTGTGCTCCGAAAAATTTTCAAACTGGAAACACGCCAAAGAAATCTTCAATGATCATAACAAAAACAAATATCATTTAAAAAACATGGAGAAAGCAGCACTAGTCAGCCAGATTATTAAAGGAAACGCAGAAAAAATAGATCTACAACTCGATAAAATGAAAAAACAAGAGATTATTGAGAACAGGATAAATCTAAAACCTATTATTGAAACCGTAGTAGTTTGTGGAAGACAAGGTTTAGCTTTAAGGGGTCACGTTAACAGTGAACGAGTAATAATTGAATCGGAGAGTAAAGAAGATGAAGATCAGAATCAAGTAATTTTCAGAGAGCTGCTGAAACATAGAGCTACTTGCTATGATGAAAACCTAAAAGAATTTTTGTGTAAGAGTAAGATCAATGCTATGTACACAAGTGCCCGCATTCAAAATGAAATAATTGACATATGCAACGGGTTAATTCTTGAAAATTTAAAGTCACAGATAAAATCATCTTTATATTTTTCAATTTTGGTGTACGAAACTGATGACATTGCATACATTGAACAAATGTCCATATGTATTCGATTTATTGATTTGCCGGAATATACCATAAAAGAGCTATTTCTGCAATTTGTTCCTTTACAAGATTTAACAAGAAGAGGAATAGCAACTGCAATTTTAAATTTCTTAAATTCACTAGTATTAAACTTGAACTTGATGAGAAGCCAAGGATACGATGGAGCCGCATCAATGTCTGGTAAATTTAATAGTGTTCAGGCATACATTCGAGAACTATATCCCACAGCTATATATGTTCACTCTACTGCACATTCTTTGAATTTGGCTGCGTCCAATTCATGTGATTTTTTCTAATATGCCCAAACGACAATTAGTTTTGAAAAATATTATAGGTGAAGCTGAAGATGGACACAATCATCAAAAATTAAAGCTCTTGTGTGCTAGTATATTAATATATATTATTATACTTGACCCAACTATGCCACGTCCTCACTGTGCTGTTTTTTTTTTTTTACTTTAATTTAATACAACGTATATAGGGGAGGCTGTAATATTAGTGTCTTCGATTATCATAAGTGTTATTTCAATGAAATTTACATTGAATGATTTATAAGTGTAATACATGAATAATTACTTATTATGGTAATTAAATTTAGTATGAAAGTGATATTGAGTAATTTAGTATTGACATATTATAGAAAAAGTTATAAAATTGTTGTAAACAGGATGATTCTTTAGTATTAGCTACTCGATTATGTTAAGAAAATACTTTTATGAAATTTTTTAATTTCATATAATTCTTGATTTATCAATTAAAAAATTGTTTTTAATTTATTCTTAATAAATGTATTAATTAAATTTTTTTTTAAATGACTACATACATATTTAACTTATAAATCTTATCTTATGAATTACAAAACTTGTAAAGATTAAAACTTGTAATTGCTGTATACATAATTTCATTGAATCGTTTTTTTATGATATTGATTCTTTGATTTAATCACTGTTAAATATCTTCTATACTTGTATCCACTGTGAAATGCACCTACAGTGCTGGGTTATTTATTTAAATCAAATAACATGACATGATTTTACAAAATATTTTGTTTTATTACAACAATAACTTACAAAAAATATTAGTGGTATGTAAAAATATACTCACTTTTATACTTGTATTAGATACCAACGCCACATGGTGTCCAATTTTTTAACTGATAGTTTTATTTTACATTACTAGATTGAACAAAGTGTTACACTAAAATATTTCATAAATTGACAAAATTTCAGGAAATACACTTAGATATACAAAACATAATTATAACAAATATAAATAAATATGGTCTCTATAATTTTAATTCTATTTTTTATTTTATCTTACATTTAATATTTTTTATCAATTCAAATGTTTTTATAATGTCTTAAAAAATTTTAATTCATTTAATTATTGATAGAAAATATAATTGTCTTTTATTGTATATTTCCTATGTAAAACACGAAAGTTCAATTTTTTTTAGAGCATTAGAGTATCCAAGCTGGGATTGAAAGCATTATAACACGTATATATTTATTATTTTATTGTTAAAATCCAAAAATGTAAAAGCGTTATTAATTAATATTAAGTTTTGCGTTTGTCATAAATTTCTAAATCAAAAACTGCTCTACTGAAAGTTATAAAATTTATAGATAATCTTATTGAAGTGAAACTTCGATGTTGTATGATACAGTGTATTCATCGAATAGTAAAATTTTGATTGTATACCTAATGAAACAAAAGAATTCGTTTGTAGTACGAACATTTTCATCGAACGAACGATTTAAAAATAAGCCCCTGTGGCGGCCAAACGGGATGATCAAACATGAAGCCGACTTTTATCGCGTTAAACGAATTCTATTGTTCTATTAGGTATACTGTCAAAATTTTATTGTACGATAAACGTGTAAATCGATAAGAGTGTGTGATAAAAAAAAAGAAATGTTAAGGTGGTAATGTTATAAGGTGTATGTTAGGGGTAGATAAGGTAAGTGATTTATGATTGTTTTGTTAAAAGATGAAATTAAAGACATATGATATTGATTATGAATTGTTTTGTCGTAAAATGAAAGATAAATGGAAATAACATATGAATAATAATAATAATATTAATAATATTAATTTTGTTATAATATAAAATATACAACTGTGTTATAGGATTTTACGACTCTTGATTTTTTATCGATTCTACTACATATATGAAATAATGTGGGTTTGTTTAGAATACAACTGTTCGATTTTTGTAGGCCAAGCTTAATTAGCTGAATTAATTTTTCTTTTTACAAATAATAAATACAAATAAAATATTTACGTTGAACATTCAATCGCGATTCGCATGATAGTAAAATACTAATTAATCATATATATTTTAAGTTAGTTACGTCAAAAAGCATATTCAATTATTTCCACTAATAGCTTACTCATGACTTATTTGAAATCTATTCTTAATTTTTTATGATATTCTTTGTTGTATGAAGAAAATAAAAATAAAACCACTGACTTTATTTATTTAGTTATTTTATAATCTTGAAAGAACTATTAAACTATTAGAGTATGAGAAACAATCCAAAGTGCACGTCATAAACTATTGTTTTACCAACAGTTTCAAACGCTGAATGTGCTAAGTTAGGTTTTCGAAATATTATTGAAAAATAGACACTTTAATTTTACACTTCATCAAATATGAGATGTTCCGTCGGAAATTTTTCTAATGAAGATTGTCATAAAATATNATGTTCCGTCGGAAATTTTTCTAATGAAGATTGTCATAAATCAGTGTATGGATCTTTTTCTAAAAATTTAATTAATCTTGCTGATCATAATAATGAAGAAGAAAAATTATTATTAAATTTACGGACCAAAATAAATATAACTACGATTTGTGAGTACCACAAAATAAAATATTTAAATAAATTTAATCATTTATATGGACAAACTTGTTGTGATCCTTTAAATAATCATAAAAAAAATGTTAAAAAGGGTTTACGTAAAATACAATTATATCATTTAAAAAAACCCATGAATTTTGTGTTAGAATTAATTCCTGGCAAATCACTGTGTCCTACTTGCTACAAGAATATATTTATTAATCAGCAAACTTCTAATTTTTCATTTATGGTGAATATTACGTGTCTTTTTATAAAATTTCTAACTTTGTAGGCCTATAAATCCCAAGAAAATTGTTTTAAATATTTGAAATTTAGTTGAAACATAAATTATACACTATACAATACCACATTTAAAAATCACAAAAAAAAAATAACATCTTAATGGTTTTAGTGAGCTCAAAAACGTCAATTTTCTCAAAAAAAGCACCATTTTTAGAAAGTCATTAAAGTTTGAAATTTCATATAAATTTTTTGTTTTTTTTTTTTAATGTTAATTTTAAGTTATAATAAGGTTGACCCTAAAATTTTAATTAGATTGTGTTAATATTGAATAATCTGTGTGTTTTTTAACGTTCTGGCTATTTTCAACATTTTTTACATTGAAATAGCCATAAAAATTGGAAGGTCATATAAAAAAAAAAAAAAAAAATTGTGTTAATCTAGTTATAGCATAAATAATAAACCCTGAAAATTCAAGAAAAATATGAGGTGGTCGTGTAACCACTTCTGGATGATTTGGCATGGATTGACCCCTTACTGACTATCTGTTTTAATCTCATACTCGACTTGGTTACAAAAAAAATTCAATTATTATTTTCTAAATTCTTATATATTAAAGTTCAATATATATAAGAACAATAAAAAATTTACCTGTTAAGATTCTAATTTATTAATAGTTAATACTTATATTATTTCATGACCGTCAAGTCACATCCTCAATGAAATTAACTCTCATTTTTATCTAACTATTTTAGTTTTTAAAATACATAACGCAATTATACAATCAAAGATACAATATGAGTCAAAAATTTTTAGAACAGCCTCTAATTCACTTCTGTATCTTATAGATAGCATAAACAATTCGGGAAAGAGATTAGCAATTGGTGCATTCAAAAGGACTCCAATAAGTAGTATCTATAACATTTCAGGTAAACGTCCACCTTATATAAAACGAATCGAAACAGCTCTCTGATATACGGCAATAACCCATAAAATACCTGACGAATATATGTCAAAACAGATACCGTCTCACAACAAACTGGCAAATCAAAACAGTATTCAGTTAACTAAAATTATTGGCAGACAACACAGTAAAATAGCCACATGGAAAAACAACATTTCAACACTGAATTGCAATCTACAATCAAACAGTACACACAAACAAAAATTTACAGAATTTAATTCAATAATATGAAAGATAAATACATAAAATACTATGAAATATAGACAAACGCTTCGAAAGTCAAAAGACGAAAGAGAAGTGAGATTTGATATTGTAAAAAACAAATTAAAATGCATGTATAAACTATCAAAAAAATGTTCAATATATTATGCTAAAGCTACAACTATTTCAATAGTAATTAACATTACTAATAATATAGAAAAATACAAGTCTACAATACTCACTGAGCGTTATAACAAAAATTATCAACAAAATAGAAAAAGCGAAAAAAAACGGTATAGTAATAATGTGGGTATGCGGTCCTGTCGGGATAATGGGCAACAAAATAATTGATGAGTTTTCAAAAAAAAGCTATAGAAAACACCGAGATAAACAATATAGACGCCTTAACATGCACTGACACAAAAAAACGATCAAATACAAAACTGAGAAAATAATTAGAAAAATTCAAATAACAAACTTAGTGAAATAAAGAGTACTACAATTATATGGCTTAGAAACTCCTCAACTAGTATTAGTAATGAAAAAAAATTAATCGAATCCACATAAGACTACACGGTTGACTCACGGTTTTTTAATGGAAAAAGAGGAACCTCTAATATGTTCAACGTGCGTTACTCCTTTATCGATTAAACATATTTTTAATGATTGTAGATAATACGAAGGGGCCAGAAAACTGTTCAAAATAAACCACCACTTAGCTGAAAGCCTCGGACCACAATCGAAAAATGAAATTAATCTTAATAAATTTTTGAAATATACAGATTTGTTAAAAAAAATTGTAAAAATAGTTTAATAATAAAATAAAAAGTTATTAATTTAAGTATAGATTTATTTACTTATGTAATAACACTATAAAAAAAAAATTGTTCGCTAATAGCCATTGATGTCAAAGCAAGTAATAATAATAATAAAAAAAACATAAAGTATTTTTTTTTAATTCTTATATTTTATCAGTAAACCTGACCCAACTATAAATATTCATATAATACAAATATTAAATTATATGCATTTCTATGCGTATTAGGCAGTT